CTCACAAAGATCTGCCTGCCTCTGTCTTCCAAGTGCTGGGATTAAAGGCATACGCCACCACGTCTGGCCCCCCTCATTCATTTTTTAAAATTATTTTTTATGCATATATATGTGTTTATTATACATATAATCCATATATATTATATATAATATATATAGGAGTGTTTTGCCTATATGTATGTAAGTGTATCACATGCATACAATGCCCACAGAGAGCCAGATGAGGGTGTTTGATCCCCTGACAACTGGAGTCATGGATGGTTGTTATCTGTCATGTAGGTGCTGAGAATTGAACCCAGGTTCTCTATAAGAACAGCCAATGCTCTTAACCTCTGAGCCATCTCTCTAGCCCCTAATTCATTTTTAACAAAAGTTGAATGCTAAATTTTATGAAATTGATAAGTGTATTACAATTCCATTGTGATTATACAAGAGATATTGCTTGAAGGAACCGTACACATTGAAACATTTAGGAGTAAGAGTTATGATGTAGGTAACTTACCTTCAAGTGGCTTACAGAAACATGTGTAATGTACTATGTATGTATGTAGAAAGAGAGACAAGGAAAAAGAATACAATGGCAAAACAAATGAAGTAGAATGGAAAAGATAAAGAGTTTCATGGTATTTTATTATTGAAATTTATAGAAACGCAAACAAATTTCCAAATAAAAAGGTTTCTTTTTTTTTTAATTGAGGAGGGAGATAAACTTTAAAAAGCAAATGTTGATCATTCTGGAAGGAAGGTTGTAGACAGATTGGAATTCATTCTACATTCTCTCTAGTTCTGTACATCTTTGCAACTGCGCAAAAAAACATGAATACAGAAAAACTGAGTTGATGAAATTATGGATGTATAGTAGCTGCAGAAGGCAAACAGAAAAACACCAAGAAATGATAGATACTGTTATAACTAAGTTCACATCTCACCAGTAGAAACAAATACTAGTTTTTGGTTGTGATAGTTGTTATTGCTGTTTTCTTTCTTTGAGACAGGGTCTCACATTTGTAGCCCATGATGGCCTGAAACTTACTATGCTAGCCCAGGCTGGCCTCAAATCTGTGGCAATCCTCTTGCCTTAGCCTCCTGAATGCTGGAATTAAAGCCATGAGCCATCATGCCCAGCTAAGTATTCACTTATAGTATTTAATAATATACAAGTATTTACTGACAGTTCACAGACGTAATATGTTCTGCTGGATACTACAGAAGCCAGGTGTGGTAGTTGCATGCCTATTATCTCAGCATTCAGATAGCAGAGGAAGGAAGACACTGGATTAGAGGTTAGCCTGGGCTACTTAGCAAGGCGGTATCTTCAAAAAAAGAAACTAACAAACACCCCAGAAAACTATGCAAATCACTCAGTTTCCATAGTCAGAACTCAGGAGGTCACAACAATGAAAGACAAAAGCAGGAGTCAAAGGAATTTAGCTCAAATGCAAATAAAATCACCTCTTTCCTCTGAAATCTAAACAAAATAATGAAACAACTGGAACACCTCTCCACATACCATGTCTGAAAAGTAGAACAATCTACTTCATACAGATGAGCTTGCTATGCGAAGAACACAAGACACTCAAAAAGTTCCTCTGTAAACTCAAAGTATTACATAAATGTTAGCTCTCATTTTACTGTAAACACAATCAACGTGGCAAGAAAAAGGCATCCACATTTGTAAATATAATAGAAAGCCAAGAGACAGGTAACACAAGAAAAGGTCATACATAAGCAGTTAGGAGAGCATGGACATCTTTGTGAAGAAGGTGGTCCTCAAGATGGACTTCGATGGAGGGATAGGTAGGAAACTACTAGCCAGCAAGATGAGGAACTAGAAGTCAAGGCTACTGGGACAACCCAAGCAAAGGCATGAAAAGGATGAGTATCAGGTAGCAAAAAACAACAGATACTTTACTGGCCACTGGGAAGCAAACAGTAGAAGAACCACAAATGCACCAGTAAAAGTGAGAACTGGTGGAGTGCCCATGCTTCAGTGGATGACTCCACACCCATACACATATGGGCAGCACTAATTGAACTTAGTGGGTTGAGAGGGGGTGGGAGGAGGCACATGAAGCTGGGAAGGAATCATGTTGGGGCGAATACAATCATGTTTCATACTGTACATGAAATTCTCAAGAAGAAAGAAAAATTATGGGCTGTACAGATGACTCAGTGGTTAAGAGCAGTCATTGCTCTCACAGAAGACCAGGGTTAGGTTCCCAGCACCCATATCAGAGAGCTCACAACCATGTGTAACTCCAACTCCAGGGAATCCAATGCCACTCTTCTGGTTTTCACTGACAACTACATGTACATGGTACACATACACATAAGGAAACACACACATATACACCTAAAATTAAAATAAGTATTTTAATGTCTTATAAAAGTTAATTTTAAAAAATATTTTATTATTTTTATGTTATGAGTGTACTGCCTGCATGTGTGTAAGTGTGCCTGTGTCATGCAATGTCCACAGAGGTCAGAAGAAGGCGTCAAATCCCCTGGAACTAAGTTACATACGATTGTTAGCCACCATGTGGGTACTGGGAATTGAACCCAAGTCCTCTGCAAGAGCAGTCAGTGTCCTTACCCACTGAGCCATTTCTCCAGCCCCATTAATAATTTTTTTAAGTAAGGGAGAAGAACTGGAGATGGCCTTGCCTGATATAAGAAGCTCCGAGCAGGTGGTAACTTACTACTTATCCGGACCCCTGTACTAGTATAAGCATTCACTCTTCTGCCAATCAACAAAACTTCACTACCTAAAACTGAAGGGTTTTTTTATTTTTGTTTTAATTTTATGTGTATGAGTATTTTGCTTGCATGTATGTTAAGTACACCACATGTGTACAGTGCCCACAGGGACTAGAAGAGGGTGTCAAATGCCCTGAAACTGGAATTATGAACAATTGTCAGCCACCATGTGGATCCTGGGAAAGAAACCCAGGTCTCTGCAAGAGCAGCAAGTGCTCTTAACTGCTGGGTCATCTCTCCAGCCCCTAAAACTGATTTTTAAAAAAGCAATGTACACCACGTCAAATGAAATAATGTAAACAAAGCAGACAATGCACACAATGGTATGAAAGAAAATGCTTTTTATATACAGGGAAATTTAAATGACAATAAAAACATATGTAATCTGGGGGCTGGGAGATGGCTCAGTAGAAAAAATTGCTCTGCAAGCATGAGGATCTGAGTCCATTCACACGTTTGTATGAACAGCCATCTGAAAAATTTAGGAAGAAAATGATACAAAATGTCTTTGTAACCATAGTGTTGTAAAACCCTACAAATCTATTTTAATACCTTTGATTAAACATTAAATTTTTAAGACTATGAAAAAAACCCACAGATTTATTAAATGTTATCTCAGAGATCACTCATACCAACCTTCTCATTGGATGGGCAAGGTAGCAGGAAAGTAATGGCACTTTCTTACAAATATTCTGCTAATTAGAAGGAGATCCAAATTTTAAAATTCAAGGTTTTTGGCACCTAGCATACTAATGACACAAATGACAATCTTGTACGTCTTTATGAAACAACATATAACTGTAAGAGAAAAGAAAAACTACACACAAATTTGCTTAAAAAAAAAAAAAAAAAAAAAAACTGTTCAGCCAGGCGTGGTGGCGCACACCTGTAGTCCCAGCACTTGGGAGGCAGAGGCAGGCGGATCTCTGTGAGTTCAAAGAAAACTGTTCAAATATTACCACTGTTTTGAAGAAAGCAGTTAATGAACTTGATTTCCCAGGAAAAAAAAATCTCCAATTGCATTAGAATACTGGGAAATACTCAGCATTTAAGTACTCATCCAGTTAAATGATACAAAAGAAAAAGAAAACACTAACAGGTTAATTCAGTCTTCCTATAAGACACAAAAAGTCATTCCTGTATTACCTTCAGAGGTCGCAAATAAGCTGTGTAACACTTCCTCATGAGAAATAATATGGGAAATAATAATAGGATGGAGTAACCTGAAAAAGCGATCCAAGTATGGCATTCTAGGCAAGCTGCTCAGCGCCAAGGACAAGGACGCAAGTGATTCCAAATTTAAGTTAAATTCATAATATTAAGAAAGGAAGGCAAGCAAGAAGGTCTGGTTTACTGATTAGTTGCTTCAATAACAAAATAAGCCTGCCTTTTTAATGAGAAGTTGGTAAGCCTCATGGTAAAGTAAGTTGTTGCACTGTCCTGCCTGCTTCTATCCCAAATGTCACTGCTTGAGTGTGGAACGCAAGTCCTAGCCATCTTCCACTGAAGAAGCTCCTGTGAGATCCAGTGCTCTGCTAACTCAGCAAGTTTAGTAACAACCCCATGCAGACTGGAGACTGCCCAAGCAAGTGTCACTCTACTTTCTACTTTTCTAGAATAAAGCCAGATTTCACAGCTATGTTACGTCACACAACCCAGGCCACCAAGATAAAAGGGAAGAGAGCAAAGGCACTGTGTACTTGTTGCATCTCCAGGTCTGAACGCTAAAGCAGAAATGAGGACTGACTATGAAGTAGGAAAGGGCTTTTCTTCAACTGTCAATCAGATCAGACAAAACTCTTCAAAATGCTTCCAAATGTCCTAATTTGCCAATGAACAAAGCACTGAGTATAATAGAAAAACTGCACTTGATTAGCCATATAAAATCCTAGCCAACAAAGCCTCTAAAATGAAAAGATTTGGCCTATAACACCAGGAGTGAGGTGCTTCCAACAGCTCAGTTTAACTTTTTCTATATAGCCTGAACTTGAGCAAAACACATATTTAGATAAAAAGTTTTTTGAAAAATTGTTTTGTAGCTAAATAATCTATTTGTTATTTGCATACATTTAACATAAATCACTGCAAAGAATGGAAGGATTAATATTTTACTTTCAGTATTCACATTTAGCCAGCTGCATAGATCTAATAGAACTGATAATGGCAGCAGTCAAATGAACAGAATTTCTTATGCCTAATTAGAATTTATGTACATCAAATTGAAAAAATCTGATAGGACTTACTTGCTACTCCTGATGCCAGTCCATACAGTAGTCCTCCCCCATCCGACTGCTGAGGGAAAACATGAGTTCCTGGAGGAGGTGGCTTTTCTTGTCTGATAAAGTTATACAATAAGGTTTTCACAAGTTTGCTGGTATATGGAAGACTATACAGAAAAGAGGGGAAAAAAATCAAACTCATGTTCATGAGCATCACCTAATTCTGTATAATAACACAGAAATAAGTCTGCCATTAGCACTATCTCAAAGAAATTCAGCTGCATCAGAACATAGGCAAAACAATGGGAGAAGTGATCAGCATTGAGGCTGAACTCTTAACATACCACAAGACACTAGCCAAATCATTAAAACTCCAGTATCTGTCACCTTCTGAGTAATTTACACAAAATTGTGAGCTATTATAAATTTAGTGGATAACACAGCACAACTGGCAAGAAAGGTTGTAATGGAAAATCAGCTGAGAAAAGCAAGACTTAAATTACAATAATAAAAGACTGTATTTCAACCATGAAACTATGTACTTATTGGCAATAAACTAACTTCTATAATCTATGCTAAACTCTTTCTAGATTCTTGAATGCAATATTGAATTTTCTCAAATATGGTTTCTAAGATAAAACACAGAAGCCAGTAAAAGGGCATTCTAGTTTAAATATGTGACAATATATTAAAACTAACAAATTCAGTTTGTCTCTTCTGCAATCCATACTGTTTAATCTCAATTATGAGGTATTAAGAGGGTGAAAACTAGCTGGGCGTGGTGGTGCACGCCCTTAGTCCCAGCACTCAGGAGGCAGAGGCAGGAGGATCTCTGTGAGTTCAAGGCCAGCCTGGTCTACATGGCGAGTTCCAGGCTAGCTGGGGCTACAGACAGACCGTCTCAAAAAGACCAAAAAAAAAAAAAAACAACAACAAAAAAAACGTGAAAACTTAAGCTGGCTGCCTGTGGTGTTTAGCAGTGGAGCACGTGATAGGTGGTGATCAGGATTAGGTAAGAACATCAGTTTGGAGCTCACATGATTAAATCCTGGTGGCATTACATGACATGCACACACAAACTGGCCTGTCTCTTGGTCTATAATGCCCTGATACCTTGGGACTTTCCAGCAAGAAAGTCATCACCAGATGTAGCCTCTCAACCACGGGCTCCAGAATTCCTTTTCTTCATAATTTACCCAAAGAGCTCTACAGGATTTTGTGAATGTGCCACAGGTATAACGAGGGTAGCAAGAAGAACACGAGGAAAAAGCTCTTCATTACTGATAACTTTCTTTGCTCACAGTGCTGGAAATCAAATCTGGGATACGGCATATAGTAGACCAGTATTCTACCAATGTGCTGTCCTCAGAAACTATTTGATAACTTAAGTAAAACTATTTTATTTTAAAGTCTTGTTTTATTTAAAGTTTTTTGAAAATTATATTCACAAAAGGTAAGGTATGTATTTACTAAAAATATTTCCATCTGTATTCCCTTAAGTGTCTGCTAAGGAGCACAGCTGATGATATGCACAAGTTCTGTGTACCTTATATAGAGGACTTGTAGATTTGGGTAGCCTTAGTAATCCTAGTCCACACCAAGGGAAATTGTAGTTTGAAAGGAACTAGTAAGAAGGGGAAGATTCAGAAACAATTTGAATAAGCAAATATGACTTGATGACTGTTTACAGAGGAAGAAGGAAAATAAAGAAAGAAGGTATCACCAAAGTCTCTGTTCTGCCAAGCAACTACCAGAGATGAAGCTGGGGGACCAAAAGGACAGAGAGAATCGACAGAGTGGACAAGAACCAGGACTTGGTCCTGTTGAACAGTAACATTGGGACAAGCAGAAGAAATGCCTGACTGGTGAGGTAAGACAATATTCAGGTAAGAAGCCAACAGTCTAGATATGCTAGGGTTTTTTCCTTTAAAAAAGACAACTTTAAAATAGAACATACCATGGACCTTGCATCAAATACTTGTGACTGATGCTCTGTCGCAAAACTTCCTTGTGGAAGAGCTGGCAGGAGAGGAAGACAACCATTGTTGATATTGCTTCCACTGATATTTCATATGTAAGATCTCTGGAGACATGGAGAAAACAGAATAATGATCAGTCTGGAAAATTAAGATACTGCTCTTTTCTACACAAACTATACATTCAAAAACTCAAATCTATGTCTTCAAATTTTCAGGTAATTTAAAAAGTACAAACATTAGATCTTTTTTTTTTTTTTTTTTTTTTTTTTTTTTGAGACAGGGTCTCTCTGTTAGCCCCAGCTGTCCTGGACCTCACTTTGTAGACCAGGCTATCTTGAACTCAGAGATCCGCCTGCCTCTGCCTCCTGAGTGCTGGGATTAAAGGCAAGCGCCACCACGCCCAGCTACATTAGACTTTTTTTACTTTTTCATTTTTGTTTTTGTTTTTGAGATAGGGTCTTACTCTGTAGCCATGGCTGGCCTGGAACTTGTTATGAAGACCAGGCTGGCCTCAAATTCACAGAGATCTGCCTGCCTCTGCCTCCCAAGTGGTATGATTAAAGGCATGTGAGACCACACCTGGCAAAATCCAAACATGTTTAACATAAAAATTAAGTCAAGGAGGCTGGAGAGATGGCTCAGCAGTGTCTGCTCTTGCAGAGGACCTGGGTTCAGTTCCCAGAACCCACATGGCAACTAGCAACCATGTGTAACTCCAGCCAGTGGATCTGATGCTTTCTTCTCACTTCCATAGGCACTGCACAACACAAGTACACTTACATACCTACAGGCAATACATTCATACACATAAAATTTAAAAAATATATATTTTAAAAGTCAAGGAGCTGGAGAGATGGTTTTTGCTTTTGCAGAGGACCCAGGTTTGATTCCCAGTGCCCACATGCTGGCTAACAACCATCAATAACTCCAGTTCCAGAGAATCTTGCGCCCCCTACTGATCTCTGTGGGCACTTCACAACACAGATGCACTTACAAACATGCAGACAATACACTCATACACATAAAATAATATAATAAATATTTTTTTTTAAATTAAACCCTCTCCCAGTTACTACTTTTTATACCTGGAACTAGTATCCCATTATTTCTCTACTTTCTTATCTCCACAATCTATTTGGTTATTGACATAAGATGCAAAGAGTACAGGTATTCTGCTCTAAAGACCCACTTTTATAACCTTTGTGCCCATCCTTATTCAATAACAACAGAAATAGATACTCAAGAGTGTAAAACTGAAGTAATAGTATAGGAGAGAAAATAATGCCTTCAAAGCTGATAACCTAAGTACAGTCAGAACACCCACATACTCAACATATTTCATCTCTAGTGAGTGATTTCTTAGGCCAGCTGGGCATGGTCAGCAAAACATTACTTGTAAATACATTACTCCTGTTTCAGAAGGTGGATGACTTTTAGAAGTGGGTAAGAACACTCGTACACCAAGTGCAGTGAGGGTCATTCTTACACAGCAATAGAGAAATAACACAGAAACATTTTTTACTTGTGGGATGTAAAGTTGGAGGCAATCCAGGTTTGGACTGCTGCAGAACTGGATCAGTAAAATGTAACAGACACATAACATGGAGCAGTTTTTAAAGCCACAGACCAGATATTCATTTCAGAGCACAAAAAAATTCAAAATGCTACTCTGACAGGAAAAAAGTGACAGAGTGAGTTCTGTAATACATTTCTAGTTATAAATATTCAGGATAACAGGTTGAGGTTGGGGAGAGTGGTTGTAGAAAAGTCTGGCTGGGTGGATAACTATGGAAACAGCAATAAGAATGTGGGATTTGGTTATTTCCCCGTAAGTTAAAAAATATATAACTGCTCTGCTTCCCTGGGCCTGCACGACCCACAGGCCTCTCTCTGACCCACAGGCCTCTCTCTGATCCACAGGCCTCTCTCCAGGGTAAGTCGATTGCGCCCTCCACACCTTGACTCCCCCAGCCTCATTCACCCTACCATCTCCCCAACCCTTCTCTCCTCCTAGCCTGGGTCTTGTCCCATTCCTTGTCTTGGTGCCCCAGAAACTGGGGGAACCACCATTGCTTCCTGATCCTTTGCATTCATAACAACCCAGTTCCTTCTCCGGTCCCCAGGAGCACTCTGGGCTTGGTCCCGCCCTCACCTCCCTCTACTTCCCTGAGCCTGCACAACCCACCAGCCTCTTTCCTGGTGGCCAGGGCTGATCTTTCCTATTCCTGATCCTTTGCATCCAGACCAACCCAGTTCCTCAGTGCAGTCCCTAGGAGCCCTTGGGGCCACTTCCTGCCCCCATCTTCCTTTGCATCTCTCGGAGTCACAGCCACCATCTGACCTAGACCAGCATCTTTCCTGGGCCCGCCTCCCAGGCCAGTCAAACCCCCAAATTCCTGAGGCCAAAATCTTTCCTGGAGAGATCCAGATCTTAGGAGAAAGCCTGAGAGCATCTGATCCTCATCTGACTTGGGCCTCTGTGGGAACTCCTGAAGACAAAAGCAATCTGGCCACTCCAATATAAAAGAGAGAACCAGAAGCTTCGACGAACTAATGACTCCCAACACAATATAAAATCAAAAGAGAGAACTGTAAGCTTAGAGAAACCAGCTTTTCATGCCCAACAAGTAAACCACAAAGACACATAAAGTCTACAAAAAGAGGCAGACCTAAACTTGACAGGCTTGAGTCTCACACAAGAATCAGAAACTACAAAAGAAATTCACATGTCAAAGTCACGGAGAAAAAATAATAACATGAAAAAACAAAAT